ATGTACAAGTTGGTAAGTCGTACTGCTTTAAACTGCAATTGGATATATGCAATACAAATGACATAGCACACAGATAATAGAGTAGATAATATCTACATTATCAATGTGAAAAATTTAGAAAAAAGTATATTAATGATATAGAATACATTTTTTTTTTCAATTTGATGACTGGATCGTCAGATTTATAAAAGCTGCCTTTTTCCAGGCTCTTCTTCCCCTTTTCTTCGCCGCTGTCTCAGCTGGTTACTTGGGAGCTGCTCCCGTCGCCGCCCCCGTGGCTTACGGAGCTAGCTACGGCTACGCTTCCCACACCGTCGCCGCCGCCCCGGTCGCCTACGCCTCCCATGCCGTAGCCGCCCCGGTCGCCTACGCTTCCCATGCCGTAGCCGCCCCCGTCGCCTACGCCGCCCCCGCCCCCGTCGCCGTCGCTCACGCTGCCCCAGTCGCCGCTGTCGGAGTCGCTCACGCTCCCGTCGCCACCTCCTACGCCAACACCTACAGGACCGTTAACAAGCCCGTAGTCGCTGCTTACGCCGCTCCCGTCGCCACCGTCGGAGTCGCTCACGCTCCCGTCGCCGTCGCTCACGCCGCTCCCGTCGCCGCCGTCGGAGTCGCCCACGCCGCCCCTGTATCTTACGGATACGGTCTCGGATACGGACGTACCCTCGGATACGGATACGGACACGGTCTCGGATACGGATACGGACACGGACTCGGATACTCCGCCCTCGTCCACTAAATGTCTCCTTGACAACTTCTCAACCAGCCCGATACCTTTTGAATCCTCTTGTAAATAATTTTATATAAATAAATTATTTAAAAAAAAAACAATATTTGACTATACGAACTTTCCCATAATACAACAATAACGTTAAGAGACAAGAAATAGTCTTAATTTATAAAAACCATAAATAAAATTTCCATTTTTACTCTAATTTATAGATCAATAACAGTAAAAATAAGTTAGCGTGAATATCAAAGTTTTTTATTTGGCAAAAGAGGTGTTTGTAATGAAATCGATAACACTTCACACAGTTGACAGAAATGTATAAATTCAATAACCCGAGAAAGTAGGCAAAAAAGATTGGACAGATCTGCTGAAAAATAGAAGAAAGGACAAGGATCATTTAAAGCCTATGAGGAAAAGTCTTAGAGTCACGTAGGACAATCGACGCAAACTGACATTTACAGGATTTGACATAAAGTGTATAAATTCAATAACCCAAGAAAGTAGGCAATATGCATAAGACAGATTTGTAGAAGAGTAGAAAAAAGAACAACATAAGAAGAACATATACAGGCTATGAGGAAAAGGCTTACTATGCAACCCAAACCACTTGAACATGGAAAAATTAATGTACCGAAAATTGACACATTTGACAACTTTGAAATGACGCAGCACAAATAACACGAGACATCTTATGAACCATCGCGAGTGTTCAACTTTACAAAAGTGGTCTTTTTAAAATCAATGTCAATTACCACATACCAATTAAATCAATAAAAACACAACAGAACTTATAACAGAACTAACAGATAACAATAGGCAACAGTAAATCAACAGAACATTTACAAGAAAGAGAGAAACTGTGAGTGCATTACTTGAATTTCCCCCCTTTTGAAACTTATGGACATTAATGATTGATTAGAGATATTTCTTGTATTGATTCCATAGAAAAAATATTCTCGGGGTTACTTCTGGCTCGGATACTTGGGAAAACGAATTGAACATATTGTAAGAAAAAAGTAAAGCATGGTACAAATGGTTTTATGGTTTAAGTTGTGTTTTTGCTGGAATCATTCCTATAGCTCTGAAGGTAAAACTTCTTATATAGGTGATATGCTTTCCTACCCGGCCTCAACCGAACCAACTGCACCATTTGGAACATTGTGACTTCGAAATTTTCACAGACAGTAAAATGAGAGCATTTGTAATATGAGGCACTCAAAAAAATTTAATTGGCCGGACTATTGTTTTATAAATCAGGTTGAGAAGTCAATCTCAAAGCTATATAGTTGATAATAAACAGGGTTAAAAAACATCACAAAAAATTATAAAATCGATATCGTCTCAATAAAATTGCTGTTTATATTTACCCACTCAAATACATAAAAATATTAACAGAATGGTCACTGCATGTAAAATGATAAATATTGTTAAAGTGAAAGCATACCATGGAAGTGCCTATACCTAGATGACCCGGGAAAAACAGCCTTTGTATACGAAGCAAACATGAAGACATAACCTAAGAACCGGGCAAAACAGGCAATGACCTACTTAAACTAGTAGAATCGAGTCAAATGAACATAACTAAGGAATTAGGAAAAGTACAATAAACAAAAAAAGCCGAAGTGCTTGGGTAATACGAAACCTTCCTAGTATCCTCATCATTATCATCAAACCATGATCGACATCGTACCAATAAAGCAAAAATCTGAAAATGTCTTCCCATTGTTTTATACTCTATTTTTACTTTGTACTCTATTGATTTTGAAGTTACTAAGCATACAGTAAACGAAAGCGGAAAATGACGGAAGTTCTGCAGTAGTAGTGGTGGCAACGTTTGTGGTTCAGCGGTACAATTCTATCAGCCTTCAAGACCTTCGAGTATACTGATTTATGCTTCTAAAGCTGACCTAAGGAACTAGGAAAAGGATTAAGAAGAAGGATTAAGGCACAAGGCAGCCTGCTTGGGGAATATCAAACTCTTGCTTCCTAGTATCCTCATTATCATCTTTCCAAACCACCTGGCACAAAACAACATCAAGAGACTCCATGGCAAAAGGTTGGTATGGTATGGTGATAAGGATACTAGGAAGCAGGGTTTGTACTCCCCAGGCACTACAGCCTTCTGGCTTATTGTACCTTCCTGGTTCCATAGCTCAGTGCAATGGACTCTATTCTTCTCCTTAGGAGTATCAGGTCATTGACTGTCTGCTACAATTTCATTCCCTAAGTTTATTTCGTATGTTAGGTTGAATCTCCATTGAGCTGTTGCTTCGCATTCGAAGATGATACGGGTGGCTGTTTCCTCCTCCTCATTACATAATCTGCAAATGGGATCATCGTTCTATGTGCCCATGCTGTGTAGATGTTTTCTCAGATACCAGTGACCGGTTAATAGTCCTATCACTCATCTTGAGTTTAGCCCTCTCCAATTGCAGCAGAGATTTTGCCAGTCTTGGTGAGGGTTGTTGACCGCTAGAGTTTATCCACTTCTTCTTATGTTTTGTTTGGATCCATTCTGTGATGGACGATTCCATATTTGTTTTTGTTTTTTATCCGAAGTATAGGTTCGGGCCTTATGTACGGTCTTGCAGATCCTCCTCTGGCCAGTCGGTCTGCATTCCTCTGTGGCACAAATTCCTCTGTGCCCTGGCACACAAGATATCATCAGGTTGTTGTGTTTCCCCAGGTTTTTGGAGATTTTAGGAGATTCATTATTCACTGACTAATTTTGATGTAATTCTTTTATTTACTAAGATCTTATGGGGATTATTTTGTCAGTGTAACCACTTTTAAGATATTCCAGGGCACAAGAATTGATGGCATGTATTTCTGCTTGGCAGACGGAAGTGTATTTCCCTAATGAGTTTGTTTGCTCATGTTTTGGGCTTGTACAGTAAATGCTCGATCCGGTTCCTTCATTTGTTTTGGAGCCATCTGTATACCGTATTATTGTGTCTGATGCTCTTTTGTGTTTTTCCTCTTCTTTTTAATCCGTTGAGACTTTGTAGGATGTTGTGAAGATTTTTTCCGGGATGGCAGAAGGTTAGAAATATGCCTTATTAACGTTGTTACCAAAACCATGAAAACAAAAGCCTGAAGAAAGACAAGCTATCTGCTCATAAACCTCCTCCCATGTTTTATTTTAAAAAATCTAGCACCTTCTTCTACCCTATTAATTTTATTTTGAACCGTACTGAACATACAGCAGGCAGGCGAAAGCGGAAAATGAAGAAACTTCTGCAGTAGCAGGTGGTGACGTTTCTGAATCGGCGATTTTCACGATATGCTGAATTATGCTGGTAATGTTACTAAACTAAGGATCCAGGAAAAGTGCAATAAGCTATAATATAAGGCAATAGTACAAAATGAGTCAGATGTTTTATTCTTGATACTCAAAAGATCAGCATAATCATTGCATAGCACCTCCCTCCTTATCCCAGAGCCATTTTCTTATTGTCTCTTCTGATCAATAAAAATACCAGAATTTTATATTGTGTTTCTTATAGAAAAATTGGTCAATGTTGGTTGTTGGTGTAATAAATAATTAAAATTAAATATTTCGACAGTTCTGTTGAGAAACACGTTTCAAGCAGATCGTAAATTAAAAATAAGACTTAATTTCAAATTTATTTTTATTGTTTTCTTCTGAAAAATAAGACAGAAATTCCAACTATTACAAATTCGTCATTTATGTAAAAATATTCTTCATAAAAAGAGCCTAATTATCATTCACAACTGAGATAAAATTATACATTCACTGCTAAGGATGTTTATGTTCCTTTTGACGATATTTCATCTAGTCTATTTTTCATCTTTAATGACAGGTATTTGATACTGGTGTACGACACTACAACGGTGATAAATATGTTTCTGGTAAGTTGAATTTCAACTGGACAAATAGCTTCACCTTGCTGTCTGGAATTGTCAAATGATTTGGTTTAATGATTGATAGCAGGTTACGTCGTGTAATCGTTTTGTGATTGATTGATTTGTGTTTTACGTTCTTTTTGTTTAATACCATCAAGTTTTGACCCTTATAACGACAAGTCTATATGAGTCATTTCTTGCAGAACACTGTGGTTGGCTTTGAACCTTAATTCGCTGAATTAAGTAAGAACGGCGACAAGTTTTGTGAGTTCAATGACAATGGGACATCTCAAAACATCCAAAACAGGTTCCGAAAATATGTCCCATTTATATTCCGTTTTCAGTGTAAGTGGGAGATTCGGTTTGTATAAAAGAGAGGATCATCTTCTGAATAATCGTACTGCATCTTCAGCAATCTACAACCATGTACAGTTTGGTAAATTAAGAAAAAATATTTGATTTTATGTTTGTTTCTATGAGATTTTATGTTTATTTTTGGTGTAGGCTTTCATTCCGTTGTTGTTCGCCGCCGTTTCGGCCGGATACTTGGGCTCTACTCACGTCGCCGCACCTTTGGGTTACGGCTATGGAGGTACATACGGATACGCCAGTAACGCTGTTGCCGCTCCTGTCACATACGCAGCACACGCTCCCGTAACTTACACAGCAGCTGCCCCGGTCACGACTGTAGCCGCTGCTCCCGCCGTCGCTACCTACGGTGTCGCTCATGCTCCAGTCGCCACCTACAGCGTAGCCCAAGCCCCCGTCGCCACTTCCTACGCTAACACTTACAGGACTGTCAACAAACCCGTTGTCGCTAGTTACGCCGCTCCCGCCGTCGCTACCTACGGTGTCGCTCATGCTCCAGTCGCCACCTACAGCGTAGCCCAAGCCCCCGTCGCCACTTCCTACTCTAACACTTACAGAACTGTCAACAAACCCGTTGTCGCTACGTACGCCGCCCCTGCCGTCACGACCGTAGCCGCCGCTCCCGCCGTAGCCACCTACGGTGTTGCCCACGCCCCCGTCGCCACTTCCTACGCTAACACTTACAGGACTGTTAACAAACCCGTTGTCGCTACTTACGCCGCTGCTCCTGCCGTCGCTACCTACGGTGTCGCTCACGCTCCAGTCACCACCGTCGCCGCTACTCCTGCCGTCGCCACCTACGGCGTCGCTCACGCTCCTGTCACCACCGTCGCCGCTGCTCCTGCCGTCGCCACCTACGGCGTTGCTCACGCTCCTGTCACTTACGCTAGCTCCTATGGTACATACGCTCCTGCCGTTTCTACACTCACCGCCTCTCCAGCTGTTACCACCGTAGCTTCAGCCCCCGTCACCACAGTCGGCGTCGCCCACGCACCCGTCGCCGCTGGATACGGTCTCGGCTACGGAGTCGGATACGGATACAACGGTCTCGGTTACAACGGTCTCGGTTACTCCGGCCTCGGTTACTCCGGCCTCGGATATGGTCAAAACTATGGTTACTCCACCCTCCTCCATCATTAAATAGACTGAAATTGTTACGTACTTGCAAATATGTATATAAAAGGTCAAAATAAAAATAATTGTTATCTCTAACTTTCTGAACTCCTTCATTCATATACGACAAAAATGTATGCATGGTTGTGGTTAACCTTCTTTCAGCCCATACCCGTACTGTTTACCTTCTTCCAGCCATATTTATACCATAGAAGAGCTCCAAGTTAACCTTTTTCCTCTTTTTTGGGGTAAATTTTTCAAATTTGTTCATTTTTCAATATTTATGTTCTATGTTTTTTTAAATCTAGTATTTCTCTGATAAGCCAGAGATAATTAAAATATTATACGAGATCTATCTGAATTAGAAATAATGGTTATGAGAATCAGGGTGAGGTCATGAACAAGAAAAAAATCGCTTGTTTTATGCCAAGCTTTCATTGATATAATTCATTATCATGCCTTTTAAAAACAGAAATTAAGTTTACACATTAAAAAGTGATGTTTATATAAAAATTTATTAATAATTTAGTGTGCAATCGCTTATTGAACAGGTGATTATTAAGGGTAATTGTGTATACATTACGTCGTATAGATAAAGACACATATTTATTTAGCAGCGGCGTATTTAGCCGAGGGTCGTGGGTTCGAATCCCGCTCGTGACACTCGCTTTTATATCTCAACTAATACGGCCATTTCATTTGTAGCCGAGAATCAAATAGTTTACACTTCATTTGAAAAATGGCAAAAAGGAGTGAAAATTCGCAAGGTGGGGTTGAGATGGGCATTTATTGTCCGAGTGGGTCAAAGTCACGATAGCTCAACTGGTTAGAGCAGCGGCGTATCTAGCCGAGGGTCATGGGTTCGAATCCCACTCGTGACACTGACTTTTTTTATCCCAATGAATAATTTGCATAAAGATTAATTAATTGAAAAAAGTTATTCGGTCAATCGGACCACGAACTCTAACGAATATATTTACAATGATAATAATAAAACATAAATACACATAAGCTTGAATATTGATAAAGTTAAATTATACCACAAATTCTCGCACCGTATACAATGCAACATTTCGGCGTCCTATCGACCATTTTATGATTTATAACAAATAATTGTAACAATAATTTATGACATGTAATTCGCCTCAATAAAAAATAAAGATAGAGTAACATAAGGCATGGCTAAGGGAGTAAACAAATCTTTCTCTCCAGCACACAATAAGTTTATTTTTTAATGACGTTCATTTGCTATTTACAACTACAAAAATGTATTAAGTAATTTTTTTTCTGTTGATTGTGTCGTTTGAGCTATTTGCAGGAGAAACTGCTCAGTGACAACACTCTTTCACACTGAAACCTCGTCATTAGTCACTTAATGAGAAGGTCTCGGGGCCACTTTCGCCTCAATCGCCTTCGAGGATTTTCTGGTAGGGTTGGATGTGATTCGTTACCGGCCGGTTATCCCTCGTTACCGCACACCCCAGAGTACTAGATATTCTTCGGAATAGAAGATAATCCCACATTCGAGCTAATAAATTACATTCACACACCACCGGACTTCGTTAAGGCTGAGAGTATTCCCCTCCCCAGTATAGTACCTACTGTTTCAATACGATTTCTCCGGGAATGTTGCTGTAGTTGTGTTTTCGCCAAAACACCAGCAAAATACGGAAATTTTGTCCTCTTGATTTCCTCTCAACCGTGTGGCAAATCAAGAGAACATTTTTATATTCGACTAGCTTTTTTCCGGGACTTAGTCCATGCGGGACTCTGTTTTAAAGTACCTTTCAAATCTGATGCAGAGTGCTAGTATGGCTTTTTAATGTAATATCCCGATTCTCCGGTAAAACATGGTCCATATGATCCCCTAAGCGATGGAATTTCAAGATATCATTTCCTAGAGGCTATCCATATCATTACAGAAATGCACTGTCAAAATTTCAGCCCTTTAAATCCAGCGGTTTGGTCTGTGCGTGGTCAACAGTCAGTTACAAATTATATATATATGTAACAATCAATATTTCATATATATAAAATGATGATCTCTGAGAACTACATAAGGATTTTAAGGTGGGTTCATTTCCGAGTTTACAAAATTGACTTTATTTAAACTACTTTTGCAATCTAGCGAAGCCGGTGGTAATTTTTATAAAAACTAATTGTATATTAACTAATTAACTCAGAAGTTAGAAGCTTGACAGGGTTACAAATATGAATAATTAATTATATCTGAATTATTACATTTTTCTATTCCTATAAATATTTTACTCATTTATAAAGATTACTGGGTGTGATATTTTCTTTAACCTTTTAACAGTCAGCAGCATGTTTAAGTTAATTAATGTCAGTTGTTGAGTGTCATCACTCCTGTGTTTTGTTCTTAGTTGTATTAGAAGGCTTATGGGTTTATTGGTGGTTTATAAAAACAAAATTTTTCAATTTTTAAATAATTGTAATAATATTAAATTATATACAAAACAGCAGGAACTTCAGAAGTTAGAAGACGTTTAGTGGACGAGGGCGGAGTATCCGAGTCCGTGTCCGTATCCGTAGCCGAGTCCTTGGCCGTATCCGTATCCGAGACCGTGGCCGTATCCGAGACCGGAGTATCCGAAGGAACGTCCGTATCCGAGACCGTGTCCGTAGGCGACGGGAGCGGCGTGGGCGACACCGACGGCGGCGACGGGAGCAGCGTGAGCGGCGTAGGTGGCGACGGCGGGAGCGGCGTAGGTAGCGACGGCGGGAGCGGCGTAGGTGGCGACGGCGGGAGCGGCGTAAGAAGCGACTACGGGCTTGTTAACGGTCCTGTAGGTGTTGGCGTAAGAGGTGGCGACGGGGGCGTGAGCGACTCCGACAGCGGCGACGGGGGCAGCTACGGCGTGAGAGGCGTAAGCGACGGGGGCGGCTACGGCGTGGGAAGCGTAGGCGACGGGGGCGGCGGCGACGGTGTGAGAAGCATAGCCGTAGTTAGCTCCGTAAGCAACGGGGGCAGCTCCCAAGTAGCCAGCTGAGACAGCGGCGAAGAAGAGGGGAAGAAGAGCCTAGAAAATAAACCAAAATCAAATACAAAGTTACAAATATAAAATTTCTTCAATTTACCAATTTGTACATGTTTGCTGTTTGTATTGGTTGGATACAATGTACCTTCAAGGAATCCCGGCCGCCTTTTTATACATGAGATCTCCCACTTTGCAACCACTCCCATCCCCTTCGAAACATGTGTAAGACAGAAAAAAACCAGTTTTGACTTTTTCCGATGCAATTCCTCCAATTGTCAGTCTAGTTTCGTTTTCAGTTTAGCATAATTACACGGGCAAAATTAAAACCTACTTAACTGTAAAAGTAACGTCCCATGGAATTGTCAATGTCATGAACAGTATTTTGATTGTTTGCCACCTTCAAAATTTTCTTTCTTTTTCCTACAATTTACAGAAATGAAAGTCTTTAATATACCAGAAGACGGGAAACATAGGATATTTTTGAACCAAGGCCAGTGTCTATACACTGATCGCTTCGGTGTCATTGGGTACGTAAGTGCCTTTGTACCCTTATAATACTCCAAGGTGTTGTCCTAGTTACTGTCCGCTTTTTTGGAAATGTTTTTTATGTTGGCGGTCATGATCGAACTCAAATCATGATCTCCAGCCTGCTCTTTATATTATCGCGTACGGTAGAGACACATTTCTTATCGTGTATACATCAATTCGCCATTAGCAATCGTCATACATTTCGAAACGAAATTCTTTCAAATTTCAGGATTGTTAAGAACGGATTTCATCATGAACTTGGGTTCGTCCATTCTCGCTATTTTGTAGCGCACAAGAGATGATGTAACTAAGAAATATTTAAATCCTTTAAGTCTTTTTTTTAGTCTATTGATATCCGTTGAATAAAGCATTGCATTCCATGCGAGCCTTCTTTAAGTTTATATTTCAAGCCTATGTAATTTTTCAAAATTGATCGGAATCAACCAAATCAGTTGCAAAACCTGCTCTACTAACATTGAACTTTCGCTTCTTTGCGCGCGACGAAATAAAAAGCGAGAGGGGAGCTGCTACATAATCAAACGACAGAGGCCATCACACTGATTCTTTTAGAAGCAATCTAATTATCTGTGACGCCCTGACATGGCCGATTTTTTTTAAATTTTTATACCTGTCCTCATTAAAGCTAGTCAATGTAATTATAATTCAACTAAAAATGTATTCAAATACAAATAAAAATTTCCCACAACAGAATCGTTACAAAATATTAACGAGTCGGGTTAATGGGCATTGCCTTATAAGTGTGATCTGGGTGAACTTACGTCCGGTGAAAGGACAGGCGATTGCGGAAAATTTTTACTCAAACACCTATGAAATTACATCCACCAGGTTCAAATAGTGTACGACCTTGCTCGAGAACCGGCATCTTAATTTCCAAAGTATCAAAATGACGAAATAACAACAAAAAATACTTTGTACACGTTAATAGACGCTTGTTCTTATATGTACTTTTATATTTTCATCCATATTTGAACCTTTATTTTACCAAGAAAGGGCGTCCGTAAATCTATCTAGGGTTTTACTATTAAAAAAACGTTCAATCCTTCAACCTTTCCAAACTCGATAACTTATATATCAAGGAAAAGTAAATATAAAAATTTCTGTTTGAAAGAAGCGGCAAAAATTGTTGAGTCATTCCGCGACATGATCCGTACATAGGCGTATATAACTATGCTTTCTATGCGATACGATCTGAACTAAATCATTGCAAGCCCACTCAAGCATACACACTCACTCAAACCGCTAAAACAACTCTTTCTCTCTCTCTTTTTGTACAGAAATGTCAATGCTGTCAGTTGTTTGATATTGTTATTTATATAAACTAGGTATGTCTCTATTTTATTTTGCCATTCTCATCACTTATTCATTTTTCTTTTTTTACTTTGGTAATTTGTTTACTTGTTTATAAGTCATCTCTGTTATTTATCAAGTGTAGGCGTGTGTGCCTGTCTTTCACTCTCTCTCTCTCTCTCTCTCTCTCTCTCTCTCTCTCTCTCACTCTCTCTCTCTCTCTCTCACTCACTCTCTCTCTCTCTCTCTCATTGCCTTTTTCTCTTTATATGTTTTTTTCTAACACTTTCCCTCTTTCTCATCTATTGCTCTCTTTTTTTGTTTATTCATGTCTTGTCCTCTAACCGTGCCATATATCACGGTCTCTCCAAATCACTTTGGATTCTCATTTTCTATTTCTTTTCCTCTTTCACTATGTTTCCCTTTCGCTCTCTGTACCTCTCTGTTTATTCATTTATATCTCTCTCTGTCGCTCTCTCCCTTTCTCTTTTCTGCTTTCACTTTTCCTTCTTCTTTCTACATTTTAAACTCACTTTTTATATCTATATGTTTGGTTGTCTTTTTTATTTTTTCTACCACTTTCTACTTCTGTTCTGACCCTTGCTTCTCGTATCTTCTTTTTTTTAAATTCTTCACATCTCTTCTGTCCCACCAGCTCTGCTTGATTAGCTATTTTTGTATCTTTTTCGTTATATTTGTCTTCGCAAGTCTATCTTCTCTCTTTCTCTCTCTCTCTCTCTCTCTCTCCCTCCCTCTCTCTCTCTCTCTCACTCTCTCTACACTTTAAAATGGCATCCTTTAAATAATAAAAAATAAAAGCACCGTGTTGTATCTTGGTATAACTTGGGAGACATCCCATACATGTAGATAGCCGTAAAAAATATTGAATCCTGATGATTTTTTTTAGAAAATTCTGTGCTTATATCTTGATCTTGTTCTAGAATAGAATGACAAATTTTAATTTTATTCACCATCAGTTGCAAAATTTTAAATAAATGTGTATATTTGTTAGTCTTTTGAATCTGTAATTATAATATTAAAGTCCTGATGAATGGGATGTTATAATTCGAAAGGTTGACGAAAGAACTGAGTAATTGATTTCTAATTGGAGTCATTCCTGTCCGGTTTTTCAAAAAGTCAGACAACTTACGTCCAATAACCATGGTAAGCAGGATTTCATTTATTTAAAAATCATTCCTCTTTTTAACGTTTAAATTAAAATATCCTAAACAGAAAATAGGGAAAAGTGAATAAAACATTTTTTTTATGTTTTGTGATTTTTTTTTTATTGTAATTATTTACACGTGGAGATGTGAATGTTTTCTTTTTACAACTATTTAGTGGACGAGGGCTGAGTATCCGAGACCGTGTCCGTACCCGTAGCCGAGTCCATGGCCGTAGCCGTAGCCGAGACCGTGGCCGTATCCGAGTCCGGAGTATCCGTAGGTGCGGCCGTATCCGAGTCCGGAGTATCCGTAGGTGCGGCCGTATCCGAGACCGTATCCAAGTCCGTATCCGGTGGTTACTGGGGCGTGGGCGACTCCGACTGCGACGGGAGCGGCGTGAGCGACAGCGACGGGGGCGGCTACGGCGTGAGAAGTGTAGGCGACTGGTGCGGCGTGAGCGACAGCGACGGGGGCAGGGGCGGCGTAGGTGACTGGTGCGTGAGCGACAGCGACTGGTGCGTGATGAGCGACAGCGGTCGTGGTGGCGTAGGTGTTAGAGTAAGAAGCGACTGGAGCGGCGTGAGCGACGGCTACGGGAGCGGCGTGAGCTACAGCCACTGGAGCACGAGCGTAAGACAAAGGAACAGCATGAGAAGCGTAACCGTATCCTGCACCGTATCCTGCACCATATCCTGCACCGTAAGCGACAGGAGCGGCTCCCAAGTATCCGGCCGAAGCGGCGGCGATGAGGACGGAGAGGATCACCTAAAAATACAACCAAATAAACATCTCCAAACTCCAAATGAAATCACCAAATCCTTACAAATTTGAGCATGTTTGTTCCTTTTGAGAATCTATGCTCGTTTTGGCCACCTTTCGCGTTATATACTCTTGAAAATCCCCTCTTCGAAGCCCACACCCCTGTCGATTGTCGATTTTAAACCAGTTCGGATTCGTTGTAAAGTTCAATGTTTCTTACCCAGCTCCAATTTCGTCATCCCCTCGGCTCGTCCCTCTAAGACATTTTATTTAAACATTTTTAACTTTTAATTATCACATTAATTGAAATGGGAATAGCCGTGAAAACTATATGGCTGTAAAGCCATAGACAGATTACGCGATCACCATTTTGGAAAGACAAGAACATCAAATGAAAATGGAAAAGAATCACGTAACATCTTTAAAGAAAAGGGTACTTCTCATAGAGTAGTAGAAAGACAGAAAAGATAAATAAAAGCATGTTCCCTTTACATGAAGTAGGTGCAAAAGAACCGCCATGGATTACAATTTTTGTGTCCTTTATAGTCATCCTTCGTTTCTAAGAATTTAAAGTCATAAACTTTAAAAACGGAATTGCGAAAGACAATATCTCCTCATCCACGACATCCTATGGTTACCCTCTGTAGGAATTAATTCGGCCGGCTTTACTTAAAGTTGTTGATTGTTTTTAAAAGTTAAAAGCTCAAACAAAATAAGGAACATACACATGTTCAAGGAAATAGAGTATAAAAATAAACCTCGTAAAACGGCCATGTTGATGAAGTGGAAATTGGCTGTCACTCGATTGCAGAACTGAATGTTCTGATGATGATGATTACTAAGCAGCAGGTTTGTGCTCCCCTGGCACTGCAGCCTTCTGGCTTATTGTACTTTCCTAGTTCTCTAGATCAGTGCAATCGACTCAATCCTTCTCAGAAGTATTAAGTCACGGATGAAAGGTACGATGAATCGATGAGCAAACGATAGAATGGTGGTGGCAAGCAATACCAGGTGCATAAACTTCAATTAAGATTATTATAAAAATTGAGTACTTTCCATTGCTCCACCATTCACAATATTGTGCTTAACTGTGATCTCTAAAGAGGGACAAAAAAGCCTAGGGAAAAAGCACTGGAGCTTTTTGTTAGTTTATCAAGGCTGAAGAACCAAAGAAAGAAACGTTGCATCGATGATGGTTATGCTTTTTACATTTAGAAATAATTTCTAAAATCTCTCGTGGCATACTTTGCCTAATATCCAGGAACTAGGGTTGCATTTTCAATTATGTATCCTGTGTGGACTTTTTATTTACGAGGGTTCGCAACAGCAGAGGTCATATCAACCCTCGGGCGTGCCGCAGTTTTTGAAAAAAAAAGCTCATTTGTAAGTATGTCGGGTTCGAATGCAGGGCCACTGGATTCGAACCCCGGGACCTTTATCTTACAGTGGTAAGCGCCGTGCCAACGCCTGAACCGTTACGGCCACCGACGCCCCCGTGTGGACTATTGATGCTTTAGGTCTGCTGTGATAGATACAATCCATCTTATTTATTACCCCTTATCTTAAACCCTTTATTATTTTCCTCCCGGTGATAAACAGTTGCATCTCATCTAATAATATGATTAGTATTAATTAGGGTTTTTAGTTGAGATGAAAAAAAGTTAATAGCACGAGAGGGATTCGAACCCACGACCTTCGGCTTGATATGCCGCTGCTCTACCACCTGAGCTATCGTGACCTCGATCCACTCGGACATCAACTCCCCATCTCAACCCCACCTTATGAATTTTCCCTCCTTTTGCCATTTTTCAGGTGGTAGAGCAGCGGCGTATCAAGCCGAAGGTCGTGGGTTCGAATCCCTCTCGTGCCATTAACTTTTTTTTCATCTCAACTAAAAACCTTAATTAATTGTAAAGTTTAATTGGTCAAGCGGACCACGAAATTAGTGAAAATATGATTAGTGTTGAAACTAGACATAAATATTTTTTTACGATGAGATAACCTTCTAATGACCGATCTTTATTATGCTAAGCCTTAGGTAATCAATAAATAACTATTATATCCTCCTATGTTCAATAATTGTTTAATAGATCAGAAGTAACGATCGGACACGATTGTGTTTAATTTTATGCCTGATATAACAGTCAAAAACCTTGAATCGTGTAAATTGGCAACAATTATCGTGTCATTATTGATCGTGATTCATTTTGCCTTTCAACCTTTTCCCGTTTTGAAGTTCAATTATGAAGTACGCCGGCGGTTTTTTTTTCTAATTTTTTAGAATGCATTAGAATGATGAAGAAGCAGGTTTTATTAAATAAAACAAATTACGTTAATGGCTTAATCAGTCAATAAAGATTGTTCATCTAATGCTATTTTGTATCATAAATTATTTTAAGCAATAAAACTCTTTCTCACGTCATTCTAAAAATCTTAATAACTATTTGTTCCTTTTTTTATTTTTACGATTTATTGACATGTTCAGTCGAACTATTTGCAGATTTATGTAAATTTGTGTATATTGTAAGCTTTTCTTATCGCCTGGAAGTCTTTTCTAAAATTCAACTTATTTTTACATGACTTCCATTAAGCTCGACTAAAAGTATCTCGCTTGCTTGCTGCTTAGGGCGAATTAGCAAGTCGCACATTTTTTATTATTCCTGAACATATGTGTTTTCAGCATAAAAAATTCATATATTTTTAATAATAGTAATTAATAATTGGTTTAACGAATGAAACTCTTTTTTCATATCATCTGACCAAATACCGTAATATTTTCCTCCTTAAGTTGGTTTTTCAAACATCATTTTTATACGATTTATTATGCCTTTTTCAAGTTCTACATTCATAATACAATATTAATAATTTACAATTGCATTTCTCATATTGTTTATAATTTAGTGATCGCATTTCAGCAAAGTTTTTGCAGTTTATTTTCGCAATTATTTGCAATATAAATTTTAAAATTGTAAAACCTGTAAATATTCGAGAAAAACGATAAATAATGTTCATAGTTTGTTCAGATTGCCAATAAAATGTCTCCAAGTTCGGCTATTCTGTGCGTTTTTGCTACTTTTATGTTGGGTGGTATAATAAACGTTTTTATCACATACTATAAATGATATTAATAATTTTATTAGTCATTATAGATTGTTTAGCTGACTTTTATCTGACAAAATTTCAGCACAGCTTTTGCAAATTTGTCAAAATTGGTGTGTATCAGATATATTATTTTTCCTACGGTACGCCGGGTATGAAACTAGGGAGGGTCGAAGTACCAAATTACTTCCCGTTACTTCCTGTGAAACATCCCATCTAAGTAGAAAACCGAAAAAATACAACCATGATGATTTTTTCTTTGATAATGCTCCCTTCAAATTTGATCATGTACAAAATGACAATTTTTACTTTCATTCTTCATAAATTACAAAATTTTAATTAAATGTGCATATTTGTTAACCTTTTAAAACAGAAATTATAGTGACAGAGTATGATGAAAAGTATATTATTAATCGAAAGCTGAAGGAACTTTGCTTTTTGTTTGGCATCAATCCTGACGGTTTTTTAATATGAAACAGGTATGTCTTCAGATTGCCAAATTTTTATGAACAAGACTGCCAGTAAAAGACCATAAAGGTCGCCATTAGCTCGTGATATTTTATATGTTTTTGTCACTGTTAACTTATGTGGTATCATCAATTTTTTATCTTATAATATAAATGACATTAATGGTTGTATGTATTAGTCAATATGTCATTTTTTAAGTCAATTTACGGTGTTTTGGGCAAACATTTAAAAAGCAAATAATTCAATCAGAAGTTAGACAAAGTACGTTAAAAAAATCGTGGCAAGCAGGATTTCATTTATTTAAAAATCATTCCTCTTTTTAACGTTTAAATTAAAATATCCTAAACAGAAAATAGGGAAAAGTGAATAAAACATTTTTTTTATGTTTTGTGATTTTTTTTTATTGTAATTATTTACACGTGGAGATGTGAATGTTTTCTTTTTACAACTATTTAGTGGACGAGGGCTGAGTATCCGAGACCGTGTCCGTACCCGTAGCCGAGTCCATGGCCGTAGCCGTAGCCGAGACCGTGGCCGTATCCGAGTCCGGAGTATCCGTAGGTGCGGCCGTATCCGAGTCCGGAGTATCCGTAGGTGCGGCCGTATCCGAGACCGTATCCAAGTCCGTATCCGGTGGTTACTGGGGCGTGGGCGACTCCGACTGCGACGGGAGCGGCGTGAGCGACAGCGACGGGGGCGGCTACGGCGTGAGAAGTGTAGGCGACTGGTGCGGCGTGAGCGACAGCGACGGGGGCAGGGGCGGCGTAGGTGACTGGTGCGTGAGCGACAGCGACTGGTGCGTGATGAGCGACAGCGGTCGTGGTGGCGTAGGTGTTAGAGTAAGAAGCGACTGGAGCGGCGTGAGCGACGGCTACGGGAGCGGCGTGAGCTACAGCCACTGGAGCACGAGCGTAAGACAAAGGAACAGCATGAGAAGCGTAACCGTATCCTGCACCGTATCCTGCACCATATCCTGCACCGTAAGCGACAGGAGCGGCTCCCAAGTATCCGGCCGAAGCGGCGGCGACGAGGACGGAGAGGATCACCTAAAAGAACAACCAAATAAACATCACCAAACTCAAAACGAAATCACCAAATCCTTACAAATTTGAGCATGTTTGTTTCTTTTGAGAATCTATGCTCGTTTTGGCCACCTTTCGAGTTATATACTCTTGATAATCCCCTCCTCGAAGCCCACACCCCTGTCTCGTGTCGATTTTAAACCAGTTCGGTCTCGTAAAGTTCAAAGTTTCATCCGCGACTCTAATTTCGACATCCCCTCGGCTCACCCCTTTGAGATACTTACCCGATATTACGATATACCCCGTTTGACATTTATTCGGCCTGCTCTTGTCTCATTCTGCGTAGGGTTGGCACTTTTTATCACGGCTATTCATCTCAGCTTCAGTTCCAGGGATTGTCATTTTTCAATAATGCCTACAAAGCGTTACATACACGACAATGTTTATTCACCTTTAATGACCATTACGTTTGAAGTCAATTTTATGAACTTGGTTAATTTACATATACAAATAAGTAAGTTATCCATTTCAGTTCGGTTTTATTGTGTTAACTTTCCTGCAGAGCTTTAAGAAAGAAATTTTATGTCGTTCTTTTTTCCTCGCAATTTAGCTTTTCGTTCCTTAATACCAAGAGGGGTCCAGAATTGTCAAAGAAAAATAATTTTACCACTGTCAATTTTTTCTTGGTTCAGGAAAATAGAGGTGGACTGATAAAAATTGTCATTTTACGTGATAATTAGTGTTTTTTCAAGTATGAAGATTTTGATTCTATTACAGACTTCATTCTTCTGATGATCGACGAGGAAAACGCCGTAAAATTTCGAGTAGTGAGTGAATTGTCAATCGGGCCATTATGCCTTGTCAAGTAGGTTCTAATGAGGCTTTCTGCGCTTTGCAAAGTTCGTACATTTAAAATTAAACTTTTTTCCCCTTCTTAGTCGAAAATGTTTCAATTTACGTTAAAAAGTAATCACCAGGGCGAGAACGACTTCCAGTTTGAAGTTCATCTTCCAAAAAACGCTTAAAAACCGGGCGGGCAACTTTTGCTCAAGAACTGTTTATGATTTCATATGTAACGTTCCAGTCGTTCCAATTTATTGCAATACAAAAGCAGAAAGTATACACTGGGCGTGGTCATTTTAACTATATATTTGATTTTTTTTTTTTTTTTTCAAAGGTGTGAAACATTTTAGCATATTGAGCAAGATTGAAGCCTTTAACTTGGAATTTAGATTGAAACAACTTTAAGACGAAGTTATGAATATAAAATAAAATAACGTGTTGATAAAATCAGGGATATAAGCAGGGAGAGACAAAACCCGCCTCCTTTTATTAAATTTCTCCTGTTCGTCAATCTATAATTACTGTTTTATTAATCTCCGACTAACACGATTTCAGCAGTTTTCAAATCAAGCTTATAATCGTAGTTTAATTATCAATAATTCATAATACAGACAAAATTGTTTAAATGGGCCAAGTGGTAATTGGTGTCCGAGTGGATCGAAGTCACGATAGCTCAAGTGGTAGAACAGCGGCGAATTAGCCGATGGTTGTGGGTTCGAATCCCGCTCGTGACACTGACTTTTTTATCTCAACCAAGACCTTATATAAAGTTTAATTAATTGAAAGAAGTATTTGGTCAATCGGACCACGAAATATAATGGATTTTAATCAAAATTAATTGTATATTGGCTTAAAGTCAGGGGTATAAGCAGGGTGAAACAAAACGCCGGCTCCTTTGTATATTTTTCAATTGTGACAAAACCTAGTACTTAACATGCTAAAGTCGTGTTGTAAAATTTGATTTAATTCCATGTGCATATGAGATTGCATGAAAATACTAAAAATTACGATAAGTGACCTTGTAAAAACTAGTCAAAATTTATTAAATATTTATACAAAAATTCCTTTTAGGCCAATTTAAGTGCAAAAATAACGAGTTTAATATTCTAGGACGTTGCTTAACCCCAGATTAATTAAATCATTAGAATGGTTTGACCTTGTAAAGAAGTTTGGGAAAATCAAGTTTGTAAGCAGGGTGAGGCAATAGGCTTAGGTAAATTCCAGCTGTACCAAAATCCTAGAAATCAATATGCTAAACAATGAATTATGCTTCTATGTGAAATAAGTCTACGTTCACAAAAACGGTTTGACATTGTAAAGAGACTTTAGGTAATCAAGGGTATAAGGAGGGTGAGGCGTTACGCTGGCATCTAAGGCAAATTCCTAGAAATGAATAGTCCTAGATTTAAAATTGATCGTCTTAGAAATAAATAAGTAGTAGTAAACAATAAATTGTACTTCTAAATTAAATAAATCCACATGTTAAAACAAATTTAGTAGACCTTGTTCTTTTGAAAATCATGGGCATAAGCAGGGTGAAGCGCTAATCTTCGGCAAATTCTACCTGTGCCAACTTCTAACTCTCAACGAGATATGTACTACAACGTTACAAAGTTCATGTGCAAAAAATATGTCAAAAATTTAGCCTTTGAATCAGGGCTCTAAGCAGGGAAAGACAAAACTCTGCCTCCTTTGGACAAACTTTACAATTGTCTTCATTTTAAGTTTATTAGAAGAATACTTGATCTGTGAGTAAAAAAAAGTTAGAAACCTAGGAGGGTTTGCCAAAATGACGAATTTCACCTGTATCAACATGACAATCTTTATGTTTTACGTACTGAGGTAAGTACTAGAATTTTGGCAAATTATGTGTATAAAAACATTAAAAACGATGTTAATCGATTATGTAAAGAACTTACAATCACACTTATAAGCTGGGTGAGGCAAAACACTAACTCCTTTCTGTACATTTCACTTCAGCTAAAATCCATTTCTTAACGCAACAAGGCCAAGTTGCTTAAATCTGTGTGCTTAAATATAGAGGTAATTCTGTAATAAAAACATTAGATTGATAAAGAAGAAATCGACCATAATTAAAGTGTTTGGGATCTGGTTTCTGGTCAGGTAGAGAAAGAATTAGCCAAGCTTTACTAGAAGTAGAAAGCTTTCGGCCTTTATAAGATCATCATCAGGGCCTGAATAAATATTACAACACTGCATTATTACATTAATTATCAGATGTTTGGTTTGGTTTAACTTACAGCATCCTATTTCTGACTTTAACTTTACAGAATGACGAAAAAACCCCGACGACATCGGCTACGAGGTCTCGAAGTGCATGAGGTTGGTTAAGTTGAAAATTAAGACGTTTTTTCAGTTTTTTCTATAATTGATGTAACACTAGATTAAATTAACAATTTCAATAGTAAAATAGGTTGTTTTTTAAAAGGATTAGATTAGGAATTAGTGGTCTCTCCAAAAAGAAAACCCATTAGAATCAAGGTTATAAACAGGGTGAGGCAAAACATTGTTTCCATTCTGCTCAGTCCACCATTTGATTATTCTTCCAGTTAGTTAATTAAATTTGTGCGCTTAAATATAGAGGTAATTCTGTAATAAAAATATTGGAATTTTTAAAAGGATTACCAAGGATAGTGGTCTCCCCAAAATGAAAACCCATTAGAATCAAGGCTATAAACAGGGTGAGGCAAAACATTGTTTCCATTCTGCTTAGTTCGCCATTTGATTATTCTTCTAGTTAGTTAATTAAATATGTGCGCTTAAATATAGAGGTAATTCTGTAATAAAAATATTGGAATTTTTAAAAGGATTACCAAGGATAGTGGTCTTCCCAAAATGAAAAAAAAACTTTTTTTTTGCCTTATGATCTTTACATATTAGCCATGACGAATTCTTATATATGTTGTTCAAATTGGGGGTTATCGGGAAAAAAGGACCAGAGGCGACGGTGGGAATCGAACCCACGACCGCGGCGTGAGAGTCTCTCATGCTAACCACTAAAAACTCGCTTCGGCGGTACATATACTAAAATTGGAACGATACAGAGAAAAAAAACATTAGAATCAAGGTTATAAACAGGGTGAAGCAAAACATTGTTTCTATTTTACAAATTCTATCATTTTGGTTATAGTTACGTACATAAAAAAGTTTTAAAAATACGTAATTAACCCAGTTAAACAGTTTAAAATAAAGGATATAAGTAGTGTGCACTGTCCATTTTGGGTTGTTTTTTGATTTGGATGTGCCCTTTTTAGGGCATTTCTGAACTTGGTCTGCATTGCACTACCTCGTTAGCCAAGGAACGTGAGAAGTCCATGCATGAAAAATCTTCCTGGTGTTCTCTTTGACCGGGCTTCTAAGAAGTCCTCTCAGGAATAAGTCCGGACGTTAAAGATCCTCATGGGTCTAATACCCATGAGTAAAGATGGAAACATCAGTCCAATTTGGATTGGGGGTAAAATTTATAGGCTAAAATGTTTTAAATTCGAAGACAATATTCTAAGACGGAACAATGTCCGGGTCATAAGAAGGGTGTGGTTTACCGTCTATTTCTGCAAATCTATCTGTGAAAAAGTTATGCTCAACCTCGCATGATGTTGGCTGTTTATTATGATGGAGATAAACGAAAAAATTTAAGTTTATCGTCTTACTTTTAAAGCAAACTAGCTTTTAACCGACTTGACTGTTAAAAGAAGTTTTATTCAAATACAGATTCTCTATTATGGAGTTCCATAGCTTGGACTGTACTACTTTAGACAAAATATAAAATTTAGATAGTTATTCAGATATTGTGAGATGCGGTCGGGTGTGATGTAGGTTTCAGAAAAACATTTTCTTTATCGTGCCAACGTTTCGACCTTTTATTGAGATCATCTTCAGGGCCTGGGATTTACAAACAATGTTTACGTTTAACAAATACATTTAGGATTAAACATTGTTAAATGTAAACATTGTTTGTAAATCCCAGGCCCTGAAGATGATCTCAATAAAAGATCGAAACGTTGGCACGATAAAGAAAATGTTTTTCTGAAACCTACATCATACCCGACCGCATCTCACGATATCTGAATAACTATCAATTAACGGTCACTAATCCTACACATAAAATTTAGAGGCTAAAAAATTTTAAATTTAGAATTGGCTTGTCTCACTCTAGTTTCAAGACGACTGGAATTCGAAGACAAGATTCTAAGACGGTACAATGTCCGGGTCATAAGAAGGGTGAGGTCTGCCGTCTATTTCTCCAAATCTATGAACTAGCAGCAAAACGTTATGCT